TGGGGTGTAATGAACTAAAATAACCAGACAACAACCAGAACTCAATGTTAGCCCTCTGGGACGTTTAGTAAAGTAATTAAACAACACCCATAAAGAAACAGTAAATAAAACAAAGACCAATCAAACAAACCAGGGAAGGTAAGCGAAGGGAATGTTTGGGATCGGGGTCCAAGTAATGAAAATAAACAAAAGGACCCTCTTCTACACACCTAATCCTTCCTATCACACTCTAAGCCTTCACCCGCTTTCCTACCTGTTACCACAAATACAGGGGTGACACCCGCCCGGCTAACCTAGTGTGTAAAATATTGGGTTATCTATGTGTGAATGTACACCCATGGGCAGAACTACCTTTCCCTTCTCCAGGACCCAGGTAGGGTGGAATAGAGCAGGAGGACAGGCTGGAACACAAACAAAGATAAATCAAAATAACCAAATCCTCAAACAGCCAAACAAAAAGTGCCCCCTTCTCTATCTCTATCTCACACGGCAAACAGTTTATACTCTAGTCAATCAGCCACAGCTGCCAGGACTCCAGACCGAAGCCACGGCCACCATCGTCAGCCGCAACTCAGCACACCTGTAATGACCAGAACTAACAAACAGAACAACCACTCTGAACCACACACACACCTCAAAGGAAGATTGGGAGAAAGAAAAACATGTCACACATAACATATATATATATATATATATATATACAGTGGGGAGAACAAGTATTTGATACACTGCCGATTTTGCAGGTTTTCCTACTTACAAAGCATGTAGAGGTCTGTAATTTTTATCATAGGTACACTTCAACTGTGAGAGACGGAATCTAAAACAAAAATCCAGAAAATCACATTGTATGATTTTTAAATAATTAATTTGCATTTTATTGCATGAAATAAGTATTTGATCACCTACCGACCAGTAAGAATTCCGGCTCTCACAGACCTGTTAGTTTTTCTTTAAGAAGCCCTCCTGTTCTCCACTCATTACCTGTATTAACTGCACCTGTTTGAACTCGTTACCTGTATAAAAGACACCTGTCCACACACTCAATCAAACAGAATCCAACCTCTCCACAATGGCCAAGACCAGAGAGCTGTGTAAGGACATCAGGGATAAAATTGTAGACCTGCACAAGGCTGGGATGGGCTACAGGACAATAGGCAAGCAGCTTGGTGAGAAGGCAACAACTGTTGGCGCAATTATTAGAAAAGAAAAGTTCAAGATGACGGTCAATCACCCTCGGTCTGGGGCTCCATGCAAGATCTCACCTCGTGGGGCATCAATGATCATGAGGAAGGTGAGGGATCAGCCCAGAACTACATGGCAGGACCTGGTCAATGACCTGAAGAGAGCTGGGACCACAGTCTCAAAGAAAACCATTAGTAACACACTACGCCGTCATGGATTAAAATCCTGCAGCGCACGCAAGGTCCCCCTGCTCAAGCCAGCGCATGTCCAGGCCTGTCTGAAGTTTGCCAATGACCATCTGGATGATCCAGAGGAGGAATGGGAGAAGGTCATGTGGTCTGATGAGAAAAAATAGAGCTTTTTGGTCTAAACTCCACTCGCCGTGTTTGGAGGAAGAAGAAGGATGAGTACAACCCCAATAACACCATCCCAACCGTGAAGCATGGAGGTGGAAACATCATTCTTTGGGGATGCTTTTCTGCAAAGGGGACAGGATGACTGCACCGTATTGAGGGGAGGATGGATGGGGCCATGTATTGCGAGATCTTGGCCAACAACCTCCTTCCCTCAGTAAGAGCATTGAAGATGGGTCGTGGCTGGGTCTTCCAGCATGACAACGACCCGAAACACACAGCCAGGGCAACTAAGGAGTGGCTCCGTAAGAAGCATCTCAAGGTCCTGGAGTGGCCTAGCCAGTCTCCAGACCTGAACCCAATAGAACATCTTTGGAGGGAGCTGAAAGTCTGTATTGCCCAGCGACAGCCCCAAAACCTGAAGAATCTGGAGAAGGTCTGTATGGAGGAGTGGGCCAAAATCCCTGCTGCAGTGTGTGCAAACCTGGTCAAGACCTACAGGAAACGTATGATCTCTGTAATTGCAAACAAAGGTTTCTGTACCAAATATTAAGTTCTGCTTTTCTGATGTATCAAATACTTATGTCATGCAATAAAATGCAAATTAATTACTTAAAAATCAAACAATGTGATTTTCTGGATATTTGTTTTAGATTCCGTCTCTCACAGTTGAAGTGTACCTATGATAAAATTGACAGACCTCTACATGCTTTGTAAGTAGGAAAACCTGCAAAATCGGCAGTGTATCAAATACTTGTTCTCCCCACTGTATATATATATATATATATATAGACACACATATATCAATACATATATATATACACACACGCATATCTCTCTCTCTCTCTATATATATATATATATATATATATATACATACATACATACATACATACATACATACATACATACATGTATGTATATATATGTGTATGTATATACAGTGGGGAGAACAAGTATTTGAAACACTGCTGATTTTGCAGGTTTTCCTACTTACAAAGCATGTAGAGGTCTGTAATTTTTATCATATGTACACTTCAACTGTGAGAGACGGAATCTAAAACAAAAATCCAGAACATCACATTGTATGATTTTTAAGTAATTAATTTGCATTTTATTGCATGACATAAGTATTTGATACATCAGAAAAGCAGAACTTAATATTTGATACAGAAACCTTTGTTTGCAATTACAGAGATCATACGTTTCCTGTAGGTCTTGACCAGGTTTGCACTCACTGCAGCAGGGATTTTGGCCCACTCCTCCATACAGACCTTCTCCAGATCCTTCAGGTTTCGGGGCTGTCGCTAGGCAATATGGACTTTCAGCTCCCTCCAAAGATTTTCTATTGGGTTCAGGTCTGGAGACTGGCTAGGCCACTCCAGGACCTTGAGATGCTTCTTACGGAGCCACTCCTTAGTTGCCCTGGCTGTGTGTTTCGGGTCATTGTCATGCTGGAAGACCCAGCCACGACCCATCTTCAATGCTCTTACTGAGGGAAGGAGGTTGTTGGCCAAGATCTCGCGATACATGGCCCCATCCATCCTCCCCACAATACGGTGCAGTCGTCCTGTCCCCTTTGCAGAAAAGCATCCCCAAAGAATGATGTTTCCACCTCCATGCTTCACGGTTGGGATGGTGTTCTTGGGGTTGTACTCATCCTTCTTCTTCCTCCAAACACGGCGAGTGGAGTTTAGACCAAAAAGCTCTATTTTTATCTCATCAGACCACATGACCTTCTCCCATTCCTCCTCTGGATCATCCAGATGGTCATTGGCAAACTTCAGACGGGCCTGGACATGCGCTGGCTTGAGCAGGGGGACCTTGCGTGCGCTGCAGGATTTTAATCCATGACGGCGTAGTGTGATACTAATGGTTTTCTTTGAGACGTGGTCCCAGCTCTCTTCAGGTCATTGACCAGGTCCTGCCGTGTAGTTCTGGGCTGATCCCTCACCTTCCTCATGATCATTGATGCCCCACGAGGTGAGATCTTGCATGGAGCCTAAGACCGAGGGTGATTGACCGTCATATTGAACTTCTTCCATTTTCTAATAATTGCGCCAACAGTTGTTGCCTTCTCACCAAGCTGCTTGCCTATTGTCCTGTAGCCCATCCTAGCCTTGTGCAGGTCTACAATTTTATCCCTGATGTCCTTACACAGCTCTCTGGTCTTGGCCATTGTGGAGAGGTTGGAGTCTGTTTGATTGAGTGTGTGGACAGGTGTCTTTTATACAGGTAACGAGTTCAAACAGGTAATGAGTGGAGAACAGGAGGGCTTCTTAAAGAAAAACTAACAGGTCTGTGAGAGCCGGAATTCTCACTGGTTGGTAGGTGATCAAATACTTATGTCATGCAGTAAAATGCAAATTAATTACTTAAAAATCATACAATGTGATTTTCTGGATTTTTGTTTTAGATTCCGTCTCTCACAGTTGAAGTGTACCTATGATAAAAATGACAGACCTCTACATGCTTTGTAAGTAGGAAAACCTGCAAAATCGGCAGTGTATCAAATACTTGTTCTCCCCACTGTATATATATATGTGTGTGTGTGTGTGTGTGTGTGTGTGTGTGTGTGTATATATATATATATATATATATATATGCGTGTGTATATGTTATGCCCCAATGCAATTATGCAGTCTAATAAATCCACCGTTTTTCTACTGTTTATTATCAAATTAATTAATTATTGTATTTATTTCTTAGTTATATAACAACATTCCAACCTTGTTTAGCATGATCTAGTCCAAATGTGACATTATTCCACTATTTGTATCAGTTTCGATGGGGGACTTTTATTTTGAAGGCGAACAGCAAACGCCACGATTGTGGCTAATCCTTATTGTGGCTAGCTTCACACAAGTGAACTGACCCACAAAATTGGTTACTTAATTTTTTATTTGAATCATAAATCTATTAAATGTCCAATATCCCCTGTTTCCCAACCTATGTCAATGGGAGTGAGACTGAGTGTACCGATATACTGGGATTGGCTGACCGACATCCAAATGAAATCTATACAGTCAGCAAGAGAATGACTGCCACCAGAGAGACATTGCACAATTCTTCAAGCTCTTCTATAAAATTACAAAAAAAAATAATCAGGAATGTGAAATATAATATGGACTACAAAGGGAGTGTATTTCCTCCAGAATTTGAAACCGCTTTTTTATTTTACATAGTCACTACTAGCAAGCTTATCATCAAGACCTCGACAATCTGAATGGTTTCAAAGGGAGATTGTTGGTCACTGAATTACATTTTCATAAAGAACCAAATTGTATTTCAGTATTATTCCCACACAGTATTTCTGATTCATAACAATACATATGGGAGAAAATGTGATCTTATAAGGTATTATTAGTTTGGGGGGTTTTGTTTTATTGTCCTCCCCTAAGAAAGATGGGTCAGTCGACTCCCTCTGCCCGCGAGCTGTTTTTGTACCCTCTGCTACAGAACAGTTTTGTGTGGCGCGGGCCTTCAATCAGTAGCTGCTCTACGTTCTTTCCAAAAGATGCTCGCTCACCGAATCAAAACAATAAAACGAAGAACAAGAATTCTCAAGGAACTCTTGCCTCTAAACAAACTTGGATACACTTCAAATCAAGTAACTTCCTCGTAGTTTGAAGGGTGTATTTGTTATTTTATTTCACTACTATCGCTCTCGAACGTTTACAAGACCAAGCTCGCGCCAGTCTGATGAATTCGCCGAACCAGGACGAAGATGATGTGCCCGTTAAAGACCCGGTAAAATACGGCGAGCTGGTCATATTGGGGTGAGTAACAGTAGGCTAGACGGATAAATAGTAGTTCATCTCACCGGATCGAAACTGAACTAATAGTCGTAGTAGCGCGATTCGTCTACTACTATTATGTTCGCCTACTACGAAAAAATTGAAAGGATGACGTGTGAGTCGATTGAGTTCGGTTGGTTTTGTTCTATACAGACAAACGTTATCCTTTATTGCTGTACAGAAAATGTAAGCTTATTGTTATTTCGCAACATATTTGCCCCACAAAATTGTGGGGAAATTATTGTGAAGTTGCAAGAGAACGAGCGCTAAGTATGGTAACGTTACAGTAACTTTGTAACACTGGAGGACTGATTTGATACACTCTGGTTATGTCGACGAAATATTGTTACATTGTTTACAGCGCCCGAATATAATTGGTATAATAAGTAGCTGCTACATTGCACCATAAGCCTACACTGAAATTAGGAAGGAGGATGTAGCCTTTTTTCTTCAATAAAGGTCTGAGTGGGTGTAAAATCACCACTCGATTGCTCAGGCTGAAAATACCTATGATGTCATACTATTCTGGAGCTGTGATGATCGCAGAAAGTGGGACACTGGATGAAACCAAACCAACCGATAAAACACAGCCAAACATATCTCACCACAATTAATGTGTATATATAGCCAATTTTTGTGTTTCACTTAGGGAATTAATCAACAACCACACACAGGCCTATTGGAACATTCATAAATGGAGCCTGCATGTTAGCTAACATATTTTCCCCACTCATACCAGACAGGATGTGTGTAAGAGAGACAGACATTCAGCATTTCCACCTCTGCCCAGTCTATAGTCCTGAGGATCAGTTGCTTATCTACTCTCCCATGCACTCTCTCATTCTCAAACTTCCGCCAAGCTTCCAGAGCATCCTGTATACAGGCCTGTGATGCAGTGACCCCATGATATCCCTCTCCACCCCCCCCCCCCTGAACTAGACCACTGACCAATCCCAAATCAACCCCTAGCCCTGACTTGGGCACAGATATTCAAATATTGGATAGGTATGAGCAATATAGTTATTATAGCTAGACTACCTCTTGTCCGGAATTTTTTGGCATGTTGCATGTACCTCTCCAATGCTCTCAGACCTACACAAGTAACACTACATAAGGGTAGAGGCTAATGGTTTATCCACCGTCTCGTGTTAACGCTCCCGGGTCTAAACACATGGTTCTACCCACCAGAGACTGGGGTTCAATCCCTGCATCCTCCCTTTTCACACTTTACTGTCTCCCCCTCTCGTTTCAGTACTGTCTCAATAACATGCAAAAAATACGCAAGGAGAGTGGAATTCCACTCCTTTTAAAAATAAAAGAAACTGTCTGACTACTAGCTCTAGTAAGTGTAGTAATAGTAATGTGTTAGCAGTATGGTTAAATCTCCACCTAGCCCTCGTGGCTATGCTGTCCATATGCTGCTGACCATCATGGGCATAGAGTCAGGCTGCACTTGAATACTGATTAGCCGCATTCTCCCCCCTGTAGCTAAAGGACATACAGTGGCAGAGAGAAAACAGCCATGCGTGACACTACAAGGCACGCAGTCCTCTGCAGAAATGCTATTGGAATCTCCCTCGCTCCTTTGTAATTACACTGTAATGATTTAGTCATTACATATATAGTCCCCTGTAGCTCAGTTGGTAGAGCATGGCGCTTGCAACGCCAGGGTTGTGGGTTCGTTTCCCACGGGGGGCCAGTATGAAAATGTATGCACTCACTAACTGTAAGTCGCTCTGGATAAGAGCGTCTGCTAAATGACTAAAATGTAAATGTTAAAAATGAAATCTTCATACACAGACCCAATGATGTTCTAGGAAATGCTGAATGTTCTTCCATGTTCGCTCTCTTGGATAACTAGCTGCAGTATAACATTGAGGAAATCTTGAGAGAACCCTCTCCTCGTCGCTATCAGACATGTATATTTTGACTATAACTAGCCTATGTTATGCTACGATGGCATGATTTGCCAGATCCACCTTAACCTTCACATGCTCTGCAGTCTCAGCCTGTCTATCTCAGTGCAGGGCATGTGATGTGGTGATTGTTCTGAACCAGAACCAGAGTCCCTGTCTGCTATCTGTCATTCATTATCTTAGTTAGACTGGGCTGAGTGGGCTCTCTGGTTCTGTATGCTACCCAGGGCCCAGCTCTGCTGCTCACCCCTGCCCTTCGCTCTCATGCCAACTTCTCCTTCTCTACATTTCTATCTTTCTCTGTCTTACTTCTCTCTCTCTCTCTCTCTCTCCATCCCCTCCCCCCTCCCCAGTGCTGTTTGCTGACTCTCTGAGAGAAGCAGTCCTCGGTGGCTCTTCTGCCCTCTACAAAAATAAGCCCTGTGTCGGGGGGCAGAGGAAGTGAATATTTCATACTGCGTACAGCTGTGCTGTAGGGTTGGGCGATGTCAACCTTTTTCCTATTGTGATTATGTACTCATAAAACATTGTGATATACGATGGTATGGCCCCCTATTGGCTCGTATTTTAATAGCGATTAATCGCGTGCTACAACTGGACGAATCATGACGAAAGATAATGTTGTTGAAAGCCTGGGCAGAGGCTAAGTGCAAGCAAATCTTTTCTAATATTCCTTTCTGGTGGAGATTCAGCATGGAACAGGTGTGTGTGTGTGTGTGTGTGTCTGTGTCTCACATACATGATGGGGGGAGGGGAGTATTTATGTCTGTAATAAAGCCCTTTTGGTGGGAAAAACTCATTCTGAGTGGCTGGGCCTGGCTCTCCCCAGTGGCTGGGCCTATGGCCTCCCAGGCCCACCCATGGCTGGGCCCCTGCACAGTCATGTGAAGTCTGTAGATTAGGGCCTAATCAATTTATTTCAATTGACTGATTTCCTTCTATGAACTGTAACTCAGTAAAATCTTTGAAATTGTTGCGTTTATATTTTTGATCAGTATAGTTAAGGAGTGTCCGTTTTATAAAAAATAAATGAATAGGTTTAGGCTTCAAGGCCCATTCATCCGACAGTGTGAGAGAGCGAGTGAGAGAAACAATGTTTTCTGACTGGACATTTTGCGCTGTTTTGGTGGAATTCTCTGCTCTGTCTAGTCCTCTCTTGCGTTCTGTAGGCCTATATAACATAGGCTATATCAAATAGAAAGGAACAGGCATATTACTCTGAATGTTATTCGTGTGCTGCCCTGCCGTCCGCTGGCCAACTCCATTCTTTACTGCGCAGGACCAGTCAAGTTCAAATAGGTTAAACCATCGTCTGTCATATCACGATGTCGTCACCATCGACGATGGCTGTCAGTTATCGTTGATAGACAATACTATCATAATATCGCCAAACCCTACTGCGTTTTGCCTGGCCAGTTCTGGTCCATCTGCTTCCCGCATCACATTGCATCTCGGCCTTCTCTCATCTCTTTCTGTATCCCTCGCTTCCTGACCTCTGCCCTGCTCTCTTCCTGCTCTCTCTCACGCTCTCCCTCATGTTTACCCCCTTTCTCTCTGCCCTCTCTCCCTGTATTTCTCCGCCCTCTTTCCCTGCCCTGTCTCTTTCTTTCTGGTCTACCTCTCCTCTTTTCACTCTTTCTCCTTACCCCCTCTCCTCCTGCCTGTTCAGCTCTGTCCTGATGTGACACAGGATCATTGTACAGGTAGCAGTGGGTTCCCTTCAGATCTCCTCTCCTTAGATCTCATGACCGGGCATCTCTACTGCACTCTGTTCTAACACTGTGGAAAGGGAAATGTCTTGGCTTGTCTAGTCTGGTCTGGACTAACATTGTGAAAGGGAAAGATCTTGGCTTAGGTCTGGTTTAGAACTGTGGAATGATTCTGATCGTCCAGGAAGAGCAGCTGCAGCTTGGCATAGAGAGGCATAGCTTTGTTAAATAGGAGAGAGGGAGGGCTGGCAAGAGACCTAGAAAGAGGGAGTGAGAGAGAGAGAGAAGAAAAGAGCGAGGGTGGCCAAGAGCGAGAGAGGATTGCAAGACTAAGAGAGCGAGCGAGAGGAGTGATTTGATTTGAAAGCAGGATTGATGTCCCCTCACAAAGGGCTCTGTGTCCACTGGGCATCATCTGAATAGTGTTTAATAGGTACCATGCCCCGCTGATTAGCTGAAAGCGGCCCTCACCGTGAACTCTTAGCGTGACGGCGCAGCTCTACTCAGTTGCCCAGAAAGCTAGAGACGAGACACGAAAGAGTTTAGATTTGAACAATCAGCAGAGATGACAGCACAGTTCCACTTAGCCTAACGCTTGCTCATTCTCTCTCTTTCTCTCTTCCGTGTCTCTCGCCGTCTCTTTCGGTGCTGACACACACTAACAAACGCATACACACACACAGAAAAGTGCCCAGAAGTGAGGTTAAGAAGGAGTTGAACCTACAAGTATTCAGAGCACCATATTCATTCAACCATTGTTATTCAGGCATTTGCTGAATACAGTTTAATTGGTGTTTCAGTGTAAGGAGTGTTCGCCCAGTAAGCATGCTATTCTGAGGTTTCAAGTGGCGTGTCAGTGAATTGGGCTCAAGTGATACTTATCCGTATATGAGCGAGTAGTTGTACATTAGTTGTCTGTGAGGAATGAGTGGTGGAGGTGATAGGGATTTGCAATATCACATCTCCAATGATCACGAGGTGAATAGGCTACATGGCATATTCTCTTACTTCATTTCTATTGGTGACCACATTTAAACATTTTTCCAGATTTTTTTTGTTAGTTGGTGGGGTTACAGGCACAATATTCATATAATTTAATATATTCGGTTCATATCATATTTTATATAAAGCAGGCAGACAGGCATCGTGGCATTCAGTTACTGTTAGATTGAACGAATGGGCAAAATTAGTGACCTAAGCGACTTTGAGCGTGGTATGATCGTCAGTGCCAGGCGCGCTGGTTCCAGTATCTCAGAAACGGCCGGCCTCCTGGGCTTTTCACGCACGACAGTGTCTAGGGTTTACCGAGAATGATGCGACAAACAAAAAAACATCCAGTCAGCGGCAGTCCTATGGACGAAAACTGTTTGTTTATGAGAGGTCGAAGGAGAATGGCAAGCAAACAGGCGAGCCACAAACAGGCAAATAACGGCGCAGTACAACAGTGGTGTGCAGAATGTCATCTCGGAACGCACAACTGATCAGTCCTTGTCACAGATGGGCTATTGCAGCAAAGGACCACTCCTATCAGCTAAAAACAAGAAGAAGTGGCTCCAGTGGGCACACGATCACCAACTCTGGACAATTGAGGAGTGGAAAAACATTGCCTGGTCCGACGAATCCCGGTTCCTGTTGCGTCATGCTGATGGCTGAGTCAGGATTTGACGTAAGCAACATGAGTCCATGGACCCATCCTGCCTGGTGTCAACGGTACAGGCTGGTGGCAGTGGTGTAGTCGTGTGGGGAATGTTTTCCTGGCACATGTTAGATCCCTTGATACCAACTGAGCAAGGTTTCCATGCCCCGAACAATTCAGGCTGTTCTGGAGGGGTGTCTGACCCGGTACTAGATGGGTGTACCAAATAAACTGGCCACTGAGTGTATATTTCTGTCATACCTGTGGGCTGCCACTCAGAAAAAGAAATAAAATATGCATAGATACAAAGGAATGATCATATTACATCGTTTAGTTTAGTAACAAAACATTTAGCATGTAAAGGAATGATTTATTTAATCATGTAGAATCTCTGTATGTGTTTGTGTTCTCTGTAGGTACAATGGCTCTCTGCCCAGTGGAGACCGGGGGAGGAGGAAGAGCCGCTTCGCTCTGTACCGGAGGACCAAGGCCAACGGAGTCAAACCCAGCACTGTTCACATCCTCAACACACCACAAGGCAGCAAGGTGTGTGTGTGTGTGTGTGTGTGTGTGTGAGAATGTGATGTTACCATAGTCTTCCTATGGTGGGAAATGCTGTCCTCATGGTAGGCCGACAGTAACGGTGGACAGAGAGTGTGTGTGTGTGTGTGTGTGTGAAAGAGAGAGGATATCTCAGCAAAATGAGGATGTTGAAGTCTACCCTAAACTCTCCTCTCCTGTGGTGGTGTTGTGATTGCAGGCAGTCCACAGCAGGGGGCAGCACAGCATCTCCTTCACTCTGTCCCGCAACCAGACAGTGGTGGTGGAGTACTGCCACGACAACGACACTGACATGTTCCAGGTAAACCCCACAACAAAACTTTTTTTGTTGTTGGCTAAATACGAAAATAATGCTTGCCTGCTTATCTAGGTAATACTCAGTTCTTTGTCTTCCAAAAACAGGAAGAACAGAAAGAGGATAGCTACCGAACACCCAGGTGTTGCTACCACTTTTTCCCTTTTTGGAAGACAAAGAATTTGGTTGTTATTTTCGCTTTTGCTGTGTGTATACAACCTCCTCCAGAGTTTGTGTATCGGATGCTTTATTTTGGGTCACATGCTGGGAATACTCTCCACCACATATGGGCTTGGCGTGTGTGTGTGACACACTGAAATATAGAAGAATGAATCAGCCAATCCCACACCAAACCCCTACTGTATTGTATGAGTAAGAACCACACCAGCAGCCTTCCACAACAGCAGGGGAACGGGATGAATATTCAATCAGTTCTGAAATAGATCCCACGGGGGGCCAGTATGAAAATGTATGCACTCACTAACTGTAAGTCGCTCTGGATAAGAGCGTCTGCTAAATTACTAAAATGTAAAATGTAATGTCTGGTGGCCAGCTTAGAACAGGGGCCCAGATACATTCAAAGCACGGAGAGCGTTGTAGAACTATGAAGAAATGTATCTTAAGTGGGTTATCACAGGTGGTTAATTTACCAATTTACCGTGAGTAACTGCACACAGCTTGAAATTAAATGTAGATGTTATTGCTATTTTTGTGTGAAAGATTATTCAAATCGTGGCAAGTAATAAGCACAGCAGGATCCTTCAAGTCCTGGCCTAATTAACAAGTTAAAGAAAAGCTCAAATCATCAAAATCACATCATCAATAAAACCAAAATCACGACTTGACATAAATATTACTTTAAGTGGAGCAAAGGACCTTTTAAAATTGCTTTCCCAACGAACCCTGTTCTGAACACAATAAAGATCCCATGTAATGCTTCTCTCTCTCGTTTCCCCTGTAGATTGGGCGCTCCACAGAGTGTCCCATAGACTTTGTTGTGACGGACACATCAGGAGAGGGGAAGGAGGGCGAGGACCCCTCGGTGGCCCCCAGCACCATCTCCCGCTTCGCCTGCAGGGTGGTGTGTGAACGCAGCCCCCCCTACACCGCACGCATCTATGCCGCTGGCTTTGACTCCTCCAAAAACATATTTCTAGGGGTGAGTGTGTAGCACGGGCTCGGTAGAGAGACCAAATGGAGAGCTCTAAATGGATGTCAGTTGAAAATGAGTTGGAGTAGAATCACACTTCATTAGGGCCACATTCATTAGGTACAAACGGGAGACAACAGTGTGTTCTTATAGGACAGGTTCAGGTAGTACCTACCTACGGTTTCTCAAATTGGGTGGCTACTGAACACAACCCATCCTAGATGCGAATAACCAAGCTTCTGTTCTTTCTCCGTTTTCTTATTCTATTTCATCTTCTTCATCACCTCCTCCTCTTCCAGGAGAAAGCCACTAAGTGGAAGAACCCGGACGGCCACATGGATGGTTTGACCACAAACGGGGTGCTGGTGATGCACCCTGAGGGCTTCCCTGAGGACAGCAGACAGGGCCTGTGGAGGGAGATCTCTGTTTGTGGGGACGTCTACGCCCTCCGAGAGACACGCTCTGGACCCAGCCGAGGCAAACTGGTCAGTACCGTAGGCTACAAGAGGTACAACCAGGGCACCCTATTACCTATGGGCCCTGGTCAAAAGTAGTGCACTATATAGGGAATAGACACCTGTATGTATCTGTGAACATATCATTTTCTCTGATTTGTTCTTTGTGTGCATATGTACTAGTGTTTAGCAGTAGTAGTCTGATGTCCTCCCTGTGTGTGTGTGTGTCTCCTGGCCTGCAGGCGGAGGGAGAGAGCAGTGCCCTGCGTGATGGTTCTCTGGTGGACCTGTGTGGAGCCACTCTGCTGTGGCGTACTGGAGAGGGCCTGCTCCACGCTCCCACCCTCCGCCACCTGGAGGCGCTGCGACAGGAGCTCAACGCTGCCCGGCCACAGTGTCCTGTAGGCCTCAGTACCCTGGCATTCCCCAGCCTGCCACGCAGCCACAGGTGGGTAGCTACTACACAGTGACAGACAAGGAGCTACACCACAAGGAGGTAGTATTCATGAGTTGACCCTATCTACTGGTACAGTGGTCGGGGCAAATTCAACCTTGAGAACTACACAACATTTCTCGATTACAACTACGTTTTTATCCCTTGTAGTCTATTTATAGCTATTTTACGATACAACTACTACCAATAAAATAAATGATGCTTTGAGTTTGAGGAAAAACTTAAACCTAGTAGTTTTCCTTTTCTCCCTAGTCTGGAGGAGCGCCAGCCCTGGGTTTACCTCACCTGCGGACACGTGCACGGCCGCCACGACTGGGGCCAGCGCCCCGAGCGCCAGGAGGCGAGAGGAGGAGGAGAGGGAGAGGGGGAAGGAAGGATCTCCACAGTCCGCCGGGAGTGCCCTCTATGCAGGAGCGTGGGGCCCTACGTGCCCCTGTGGCTGGGGTGTGAGCCTGCCGTGTACGTGGATGCAGGAGCGCCTACGTACGCGTTTGTACCCTGCGGCCACGTGTGTTCAGAGAGGACAGCCAAGTACTGGGCGGATACCCCGCTGCCCCATGGGACCCACGCCTTCCGGCCCACCTGTCCCTTCTGCTCTGCCCCTCTTAGCAGCACTCCACAGGGCTGGACACGCCTCATCTTCCAGGGCCCCATCGACTAGCCTGGGCCCCACGGATGCATTCCACAACTACTACGCAACAGTGGAACCAACCAAGTCACTAAGCCAAAGGCCCAATCCTAACTTGAGATAATAGTGTGCAACTAATGTGAATATTTCTCAAATGTACACTACATCTGTTAGCTGTTAGACAAGTGTGTGTACCTCAAACATTTGTGTAAATCATGCATTGATGTCAGTTTAGGATCTGTGCGGTAGTTTGCATTAGACACACATTTCTCTCAAGGTAAGATTTGGCCATAACAGATCCTCCCTTCAAAAGCAATAAGAACACCACTATAGCAAAGCATTAAACCCGTAGATAAGCTAGTTTTTTGGCTAGTCATCCATGTCTCCAATTCTGTCTCTCTTCAGACATGGCTGAATGTTGTCTGCAGCTCAAGGGCTAAACCTAAGGTGTGTTGAAGTCACTGGATGTTCATGATTGCTGGTTTCCTGACAAATTCCTCTCAGCCCAATTTTGAACCAATAATGTAATGATGCTTCTGCAGTTTTTGAGTGAATATTCCTTTTGACAAATATGAATTATCCTGAAAATAAAAAGTTGTAATATTTTGCGAAGCGGTTCAACCCCAAAGTACCAATAACTTACTCTACATTTGCAAATATAAGTGATGTTGGTGAACATTCTACAGTTTGACCACACCTCAGGTTTATGACCAAACAGACAGACAGGGTCCGTGTCATGAGACATTATAGCAGAAAGGTCAAAAAGCGTGACCTAAAGTAACCTCAGAAGACATATTTTCAATGAAAATATAACTATTTTATTAAAATGGGGGGGTGTTTGGGATGGGTTGGGATTTCATTTATGTGTTGAGTGTAAAGTAAGATACAACTATTTTTCTATCTTGAGTATTGTTTTTAGTTAAATGTGATTTCTCAATGTAAGCGTTTTCTGGAAGTGTATGACTTATTATGTGTGTTCGATGAAAGTAAGTGAGATAAAATTGCCAACACTGTGTCACACACATTACACGACCATAAAAAATTGCCCAGACAATGAATGTAGCCAAATACTCAGGCTATACTAGCTTAGCCTGCCCAGGTGCTCGTATTGAATTCCTCTATATTATGCTACTACTATTTTTTTATCTGAACGTTGTGATATAGCTTGAAAATGTCTGATTGTTACAAGAAGTTGAACACGTTACACCCACACGAGAGCTCTTCTATCTTGCATGAACACACACTCACGTCTTGCACTGTGGATTGCCAAACCTTGCATTTATGCTTAATTGTTGTGCGCAGTGTGACATGTGAATTATACAGCCCGAAATGCCTCAAATGAAAATAAATGTTAGCGAAATGAGCAGTCCAACACAAATCTAAAATGTAAACATGTTATTTCCCATATAAGATATGTACACGCCTAGTGGTTATCCCACTGGCTATAGGGTGAACGCACCAATTTGTGAGTCGCTCTGGATAAGAGCGTCTGCTAAATGACGTAAATGTGCCCTTGAGCAAGGCACTTAACCCTAATTGCTCCTGTAAGTCGCTCTGGATAAGAGCGTCTGCTAAATGACTAAAATGTAAATGTAAATGTACTCAAGCTGCTACTCAGGGGCCAGAGAGAGCAGATTTCTTATTCTGGAGGGTGCAACATTACAGAACGTTCAGATAGAAATGTATGGAGTAGAACCGACATGATTCTCTGTTATGTAGAATATAGAGAATGGTGTCTCTCTATTTTACATTTCTATGCTCCAGATGCATTAAGTACTTCAGGTTTACAGCCGTCAGGCCTCTACACAGTGCCATGCTGTATTTCATATACTGTATAATGGGTAAAGATAGAACCACTTCAGGACGTCTTCCAACCTTCTCTTTCTCAGTACCAGTGTTTTCACCAAACCAATTGTCTATTAGCTCAGGTTTAGAATACCCAGAGTTTGCCCCGAGGGCAGCACAGGACACTGAGCTACAGTAAGCTCGTAGTAAAATATTTTAGATGGTCATTCATTTTATGGCCGCATTGAAGGAGTTGCAACGTTACATAACATTCGGATAAGAATGTGTTTTTTAGAACCGACATGATTTTCTCTCATGGAGAATATTGAGTCATGTCAGCTCTAAAGTCAATTTCTATCTGCAACATACTGTAACATTGTTACCTCTTTTAATAGGCTCCACCCAGCTAGCACATAATGTTCTGAGGACCATATGTTTCTTAGAGCTTGGTGAGAGCGTGGTTGTCCTATTGTTATTTTGCATACAACTTTCTGGGGATGGTGCAGGATAGTTGCTTGGCTTTGGAACATTCTCAGCACATTTAAGGAAGTTGACAAAAAAACTTTGTTAATGTAATGAAATGCTAAGAAAATAAACTATTTCCTAATAGTTCAAACATGGTTACATTTAATTTCAATTTTGGTAATGCTCTAGGAATGTTCTCCAACTTGTTTGACATTGAGAATGTTCTCAAATAGTTCAGAGAATGTTAAGAAACAAAGTTCTTCTGTGGGAAATGCAGTGCTTCAGCATAATGTTTCCTAATGGTTCTATTTAAAGTAATGTTCTCAAATTGTTCCAAGAATGTTAAGAAAATGTTCCATGAAAACCACAAGAACTTAAAGAATGTGATTTTGAAACATTTACATTCTGTTTCAGCGTCAACAAAACTCTATCCTCTATCTTGTTAAGTGTGTTCAGGTGTGTTGGCCGCGCCCACTAATTGGCCACACCTGATCTTAATGAGTGCTTGTTTCCTTTTAAATGGGGTCTGTTTGAATAGATTAAAATGAACAGCTTTGTATGCGTAAAAAAAAACATGGCATGCTAGCGCCATGCTGGTTGCGCAGTGGACTAATTCAATGGATACACAACAGAAAATTATAGGTTTGAATCTCAATAATATTGTGTCACAATAAAAAAAGAGTTTGCATGATTAATCCTAAGGAAATTAATTTCCATGTGTCCTAGCTGTGCTTTAAGTTCAAAAAAAGTTTACCCAAAATAATAGTAATAGCAGTGTTATTAAAAGTCTTATTGAAACGTTCAGTGAAGGTTTTAAGGAAGTTATATAAAAACCTCCAAATAACCTATCATTTTAGTTTTCGGAGCATTAATAAAACCTCCCAGGAAAACTTTCAAGGAACCAGAATAAAACGTTCTCAGCTCCTCCCTGCAACCTAATGATAAATGTTCCCATAACAAGCGAAATGTTCACTTCTGTTCTCAGAACGTTTAAAACATGTTTTACCAGTCAGGAAATGTATGGCTTCATTCCCACAACCAATGTAAAACCAAGAACATACGTTCCCACAACTTCCAAGGAACCAAATGTGCTAGCTGGACAGTTACTGTACCTTTCAGTATTCCGCAAGTCCTCAGTACCTCAGGCCAGGTTAGCTCAGAACAGGTCTGAGATCAGTCTGATGACGCTCTCCTCCATATACGGGTAGTAATACAGTTGCCAAGTCCCTCAGGGGTTGGGGTAGAACTAGTCAGGTTCAAACACAGTACAGGGTTTTTGAAACATTTCTGTTACATTTCTGTTACCTACCCCATTACAACAGCCAAAATCCCCACTTGCCCAGTCCATGGGATATTCTGCTATTGAACATGCCAATTATAAAATGTATTATTATGATATAGCAGGTGAAATGAAATAATGTTTGCCAAAATCTATCGCTCATTTAGATGTTTTATATACTTTGTTGTTTTGGACCTTTTATCTGTTTCGTTTTTTTCCTGTGCTTTATTCTCCCATTGAGTCGGTAGAAGTTGCCCCTAACCACTGATTCAGAGTCAGATATTGTTTCATTCCCTCTAATGGCTAAGGTTAGAATTGGGGGAGCGTAATCTGATCCTACTATAGATCTGTGGTTAAGAGGAACTTCTACTTAAACCATTATTTTATCCGGTTGACCCCCACATCACAGCTGACCTCTGATTTGTAAAGGTCCTGATAACCTCACAGCTATCACATGCCTCTGGAGTGACCAAAACGCTAAACACTGATTGTCTCTCACCTTTCTGTAATCCTGGAGTGCACAGACAATCACTGTACACACATCAATAAACCTGTTTTTAAAACTAGCCTCTCTGTCTGTTCACTGGCTGGAAGGGGATGGGATTGGATGAAGGTTTGGAAATAGCTGTTTTTGCCTACTTCTCATTTACGTTTGAGTTATTTCGCACATTTGAAAAACATTCTTTGTTTTAGTCTCTTCTCACATGGGGTGGAGCGAGACTGTCTTTATTAAAAAAAAGGTTTTATTGAATATTAAAACATACAATCTACTTGCAGTGAAGCCGCTCAACATTTACATTACATTGTCATCTAACAGACTCCCATCCAGAGCGACACAAAGAAGCAACCAGGGTCAACGCCCTGCCCAAGGGCACGTCGACAGATCTCCCACAAGGTCAAAACTGGGACCCGAACCTGCGACCTATCAGCCACCGGCCCAAGCTCCCAACCGTCAGGCCACCAGCTCTCCAAGATCCCCACCACAGTTCCCAGAAAGCTGCCCCTCAGATTAATGTTATGCTTTTTCAGCCATTCCTGAACCTGAGACCAGAAACAGGCTACCTGAGGGCAATACCAAAACAAATGGTCTATTGATTCTGTATCCTCACAACAAAATCTGCAGAGCTGCGATGATGGTATGCCCCAAATATTCAACATTTTGTTGGTGGCAAGAATTCTGTAAAATAATTTCAGCTGGAAAGCACGAAGTCTTGAATCTTGCGTCATTTTATATATCAACTCATACACCCTGTACCATGGAATCAGTACATCAAAAATCTCTTCCCAGCTATTTTGCAATCCGTATGGCACAGCTGTCAACATCCTGGTCCTCAAATGAAACTGGTATTCTTTCCTATTTATGCAATTTTTATTCCTCCGCCAGTTTTGATCCTTTATATTGGGCAGACAGACCAGTTCCCTACCTCCTCCCGGTGCCACCTGCCTCCTCGATTTTTGGGGTAATGCTTTAATGAATTGGTTGTAATCTTGGATTGAGAAGACTTTACCATACAATTCTGATAACTCAATGAAAGACATAACTCTACCATTCCAATTTACAATATAATTTAAAAACAAAATACCCTTTTCAAGCATCTTTTCCATAAATACAGGTATTTTATCAAATCAAATCAAATTTTATTGGTCACATGCGCCGAATACAACAGGTGCAGACATTACAGTGAAATGCTTACTTACAGCCCTTAACCAACAGTGCATTTATTTTAAACAAAAAAAGTAAAAATAAAACAACAACAAAAAAAGTGTTGAGAAAAAAAAGAGCAGAAGTAAAATAAAGTGACAGTAGGGAGGCTATATATACAGGGGGGTACCGTTGCAGAGTCAATGTGCGGGGGCACCGGCTAGTTGAGGTAGTTGAGGTAATATGTACATGTGGGTAGAGTTAAAGTGACTATGCATAAATACTTAACAGAGTAGCAGCAGCGTAAAAAGGATGGGGTGGGGGGGCAGTGCAAATAGTCCGGGTAGCCATGATTAGCTGTTCAGGAGTCTTATGGCTTGGGGGTAGAAGCTGTTGAGAAGTCTTTTGGACCTAGACTTGGCACTCCGGTACCGCTTGCCGTGCGGTAGCAGAGAGAACAGTCTATGACTAGGGTGGCTGGAGTCTTTGACAATTTTGAGGGCCTTCCTCTGACACCGCCTGGTATAGAGGTCCTGGATGGCAGGAAGCTTTGCCCCAGTGATGTACTGGGCCGTACGCACTACCCTCTGTAGTGCCTTGCGGTCGGAGGCCAAGCAGTTGCCATACCAGGCGGTGATGCAACCAGTCAGGATGCTCTCGGT